GGTAAGTACTCTCTCTCTCTCTCTCTCTCTCTATCTATATATATATATATATATATATATGAATATGAGTGTGTGCACGTGTGCATGCGTGCCTGTATGTGTGCACACATATGCATGTGACGTCATCAAGAAGCAACTGCCTAAAGCCATGGTTTATTGATGATATACAATTGAAATAGGTGTTAGAAAAAGGACAAAAGAAAATAAAAAAAGAATGAGTGTATCTAATGCGAAGTTGCTAACACCACCCCAAGGTGCAGTTAAAACCAGTCAAAGATTAGTATCAGAACATTATGAGAAAAGCATGTATAGCATGATTCTTTGGGAGCATACTTACTGCATCAGGTAAAAATAGCTATTTATGAGTATTTTCTGGATCTAAAATTTTGGGATCCACTTTAGAATCATCAGATAAGTATTTTTTATAAAGAAAAATTGTATTCTGAATTTCCAACTACTTAGATCTGACCGTCCAAAAATTGGACAGCCTCATTCAATCTTGGGAAGTTATTCTTTAAAGGAACATATACAATGTGCACACTCTGCACGTGTGTATATATGTGTGTATATTTGACATGAGTTGCTAGGTTGAGAAAGTTACATCCCTTAAATTTGGGGTCTTAAAAATACTCTTAGATAGGGTCTCTACTCGAGGAATCAGATAATCTTTTGGCTTATAAAAACACTTATAGTTGTACGATGAATAAAGACTTGTCAAAAAGCCAACTTAAGGTACAAATAAACATGGTACACCCATAATGTAGATTGATTAAAAAATCCTGTTTTTGTTCCATCAAAATTTCAAAGTTCAGGAATAACTACTCACAGCAGAAAACAGCAGATTTATATGAAGCAAATAGACTCAAAATGGTAGGTTATCTGCCTTATCAAGTAAAGCAGTTTACCATAATAATAAAATTGCGTACCTTGGTCCAAGGGCCTGCAAGATATATTCACTAGCGTTGGGAGGAATAGTACAAAGAACTTTATGGGCCCCAGAACCGAAGATTTCACTGGCAAGAAATTCCACAAGAAGAGTAAAAAACTTCAAATATGTGAGGGGAAATAAATCTAATAACATGTGTGAAACTCAAATAATAATGCATTTAAAAGTTAACTGATTCTAGGCAATTAAACAAAACAGAAAAGAACAATTGCCTATGGAAAGAAAATTTGGAATCTGCTTAAAATTTCCCAGTAAACACCTAATCTGTCCCCATCATACATTAAAAAAAATAATAATAATCCCTAATATCCAAATAAATATATTTCAACTGAATGATATGGACTCATCTCAGGAGAACAACATTTGGCCATCTCAGATACGGATGCAAAATTGAAGTTTTGATGTTCCATATCTTAAGTAAGAATGTTTGGTCAAGATCGTTTTCTGCATTATGTAATTTCTCATAGGGTAACATTTGATGGGAGTTGAGGCAACTTTATTGAGAGACTCTGTCTGAGTGAATATACATAACTCCGCCTTGGCCAGCCCCAAGCCGGTCGTGCCCGTCTCAAGCCCAGTCTGAGTGATTACATTTTTCTACTCTGCAAGGTCAGTAAAAACTGATATCTGATCGTTTATTTTATCAAGAAGAGAGTTCAAAGTTTCATAATAAAGTGTGGTATGACATTCCTTTATATCTTCTAAATATCAAATGTAAAATTTGTAATTTTCCGATTGTTTAAAAATCCTTAATTTCTTATTTTTTATCCCAAGTATTGTTAAATTTTATACTCTCTGGTGTTATTTCCTTTATATCTTCTGAATATCAAATGTAAAATTTGTAATTTTTTGATTGTTTAAAAATCCTTAATTTCTTATTTTTTATCCCAAGTATTGTCAAATTTTATACTCTCTGGTGTTATTTCTGTTATTTAAAAACGATCACATGTTCTCTTTTTACTTGTATTACAATGTCCTGCACCTAGCCACATCATGTATGAGAGCTATTTGCTTATAATGAACAGCATCTTAAGCATTAATGGATCTTTTAAGAAAGACTTCTTAATGGAAGGGATATCTATCAAAATATATATAAGAGATCAAAAACTTAACATTTTACCCATTTGTTTTGATTTAAATTAAAAATACACATCAAAGTACATATGACCATGAGTTTTAATAGTTAAAATATGGTAAACTATTAAATTGTTGAAAAGTAAGGTGTATTTTGATAAATTTCCCTAAATGGAAAGATGAGAATTCCATACTTATATCATATCTTCATCAAGTTTACACCAGATTAATAAATATCATACACTTTCTAAATGCTAAATGATATAGTAAGTTGGTCAAAAGCAAGTAGTTAGATGGCCACAAAGAAATATCAGCTAGATATTGCAATATAAACACATATGTGAATCAATCAAGCAGTTTCAAGAAATTGAGACTTTCAAGCTCAACCCAACAAGAGTAAAGCTCTCATACAAATTTTCTGATGCACTTGGATTATCATGAGGAAATTTATCCCAATAATTCCTCTCAGGAGTTTCAATACATTTGCAGGTGCTACCAGTTCTTCTATGTAATGGAAAGTGGAGTAAAAGAACAGGACCAGAACCATATTTAACAGCAATTTCTCTCTCATGGAGTCTTTTCCTCCACTCTTTGGACTCACTGGCTTCTTCATTTATGCTCTTTTCACCAACCCTTAGTTCTAGACTTTCCTTCTCAATGAATTTCTCCACACCAAAGCGTAAATTGTTTTTATTACAAAGCATTGGAATGGAATTAAGAGAGAGAAAGCTGATATTGCTCACAGAGAAGGCACCACAGCCACAAGAGTTTAGTCCTGGCAAGCTACTGCAAACTTGACTGACATGATCTGAATCCAAGTTGCTACAATCTCCAATATCTCTCTCTCCAACAACAATATGCAGAGGAAGCTCAAACAAGGGGCCCAAAACCCTTTGGAGTTGTTGAAGAACAGATAGCCATTTATTATTTGGAAGCTCTGATCCTTTTGCAGAAACATCTCCCAAGACCACTAGCATGTCAGGCTTAAGCTTCTCAAAGGATTTCTGATTCATAATGTTCAAAAAAAAAAAAAAAGGGGGAAAAAGCAAAGTTTGGAATGATTAGAGAAAATCAATAGCGTCACTGCTAGACACAGAATCATCTGTAGCTCCCAGAGGAAATAGGGTCACTGCTAGACACAGAATCATCTGTAGCTCCCAGAGGAACAAAAGACCACTCATGTCTCTTTTTCTTTTGACAAATAAATTAAAAAAGATTGACATTGTCATGCTAGAAAGCTGGTAGTTGCCGTTGACAAAGGGAAGCAAAAACTTTTAAATGATAAATTTCACGGATATGCTTATGGCTTCAACGAGTATCAGTTTAGGATCAGTACAGAATTCACTTGTAGTAGAATGTTCAGCAAAAATGAATAAAGTTACCATCTCAAAAAGTGGGAAAAAGAAAAGATCCAACCTCACTGAGCTTTTTTCATGAGTAAACATACACAAGAAAGGTATATGACAGCTGTAGAAATTGGTCACACTATGCAAATGTTAATTCTTCCAGGGACCGAAATTGAGAAAAATATTTGCTGAAATTTTGTTAGAAACGTGCTTTGACTACTAAATGCAGAAGGATGTGTAGATGCGCCATTATGAATATCACACAAAACACATCCTCAATGAACAAAGTTCAAAGATGTATAAAACCGCTTGTGACACCCACTAAACCTAAAATCTTCCATGATTCACCAACTAAACAATGTTAAACTCATCACGACTGACAAAACCTCTAATCATGCTAACCCAACCTGAAATCCCAAGTCGAATCAAAAAAGAAATTCGCATGATTTACACACGAAGAATATGATTTCCATATAAAATAAACAAAAATAGCTCACCAAAAAATTTACAGTAGTTCAGCCCACCCAACAATGACAACAATATTCATAATCAACATTTCAAACAAAACCCAACTCTACACCAAGAACCAAGACCTCATAAATAAATAAGAGAACCAAAGGAAATTTTTATCGCTTACAATATCCGAGGAAAAAGAGAGATGGGTACCAAATGAACTTACTAAACAAATAATTAAATAAAACCCAACTCTGAAATCCAATTCTACTCCAAGATCCAAACCTCATAAACAAATAAGAGGACCAAAACAAATTATCGCTCATAAATATCAGAGGCCAGACACAGATTGTTGCCACATGAACTTACAAGATGGGGAAAGGAGGCCCACACAGAAGAATTTGGTCAGGTGGGAAATTACCCAGCCACAAAATCTCATTCAAAACAAGAAATTATTGACACTTTCAAGCAACCCATCCCCGAATTTCAATTCTTGAAAACAAGCTTAATCCATATCCTTATGTTAAGAAAATAGATGAATGCTCCGTTTTACGAAATTTACAGAGAGCAACGAGAACTTCCCAGGTCGAGTAAGAACTTGTTTACCCCAACATTCCTCATAATGCAACCCAACCAAAGAGGTCATCCTCATTGAAAGCAAAGAAAAAATAATAAATAATAAAATTCGAAGCAAATCCAAATTCTATTTGACAAACTAAACCCAAATCCGTAATAAAAGAAAAAATGAAACGAAATCTTCCGTTTTACTAAATTTCTAGAGCTTAAAGAATTGTGTATCACGAATATTTCAGTAAATTTTGAAAGGTACCTACCCTGAAGAATTTGGCCATGTAAAAGTCCCTGAAGTATACATCCATGAATCCAGCTTCTGAGCCCCTTAATAGCAAGTCTGAAACCATCATTACCCTCAAATCCTCAGGATTCATGGAGAAAACCTCGCAAGAAGGGATACAAACCCTTTCTTCAAGGACAAACAATACCATCATGAAGAAGAGAGACAACAGTGATATACAACTTGCCATCGTTTTTCTCACCCAAACTAGAGAAAGAAAGACCCTAACAACCATGACCGCTGCCCAAGAACGTAACCCGCCGCCATAATCAAATGGATCTCAACTTTTTCTTTTGGAAAAAGTTTACATAAGGTTGGAACTTGAAATCTAGAATTAAGGTGACCTCAATAATATATCTTATGATAAGTTTACACAAGGTTGGAACTTTAGAGAATATATCTTATGATAAGTTTACATAAGGTTGGCATTTTAGAGATCAAAATGGATTATGGGGGATTTTTTTACATCAAAATTATATCTTATGATGAATTTTGGAGGTGCATCAATTTTCAAGATTTTTCGAGTGCTCATAGATCTACTCGATCTACACTATTTTTTAAGTTTTAAATATTATCATCATTAGATATGAAAATAAAGCTTCTAGTGTCGCAATATTTCTAGTACCGAAAAACATATTTCGACAATATTTAACGGTATATTTTACTTTGATTGTTTGGGGCCTCAGCCTGCACAAACTACACCCATAAAATACGCAATTAAGCATCATCAACAATTCTCTTTTGAAGATCTTTCGGCTCATTATTACATTCAAGATCTATGAAATCTAAATTATAGTCACTACCAACTTCCACTCTAAATACATTCATAGTCTTCTTAGAAGGATTCCCGGCTTTATATAAAGTATTGTTGATTTTTTTATTATATTTATATATTCTTTGATGTTATATAAAGTATTGTTGATTTTTTTATTATATTTATATATTCTTTGATGTGATCAAACGCAATGCATTTTACTTGGATTCATAAATACATAATTATGATCTCTTTTGAACCTTGCAACAACCCCTTTGTCAAGTTTTGTCTATCTATTTTCATCATTGTTTTGCAACCAATTCTTGTATATGGAATTTTTTGGTAAGGTTTTCCATGATCATTTTTTCTTGTACAAAATCGTTCTTTTGAACCTAAAATCATCGAAAGCGCCCTTCATGCTATTTTTTTTTTTCTTATCTCCCATGCATGTGCTCCATCCTCCAAACATATCTATTAAAGAATAATTTTGCTTCCTCAATAAAAATCCCATCCTTATAAAAATCACAAGCACTATTTCTTTCATTGGCATCGGGGCTCCTCACTATAAGCATTTATACTATTGATCTCCTTAGAAGCATCTATTTTGTACCCATTTCCATGTGAGCCCATTGGTGCAACTAAAGTTTCCATTGGAACCTATAATTATCAAATGATTGTGCAAAAAAATCCATGTTAAGTGAAATGAACAAATAAAAGGCTAGAACTTTATGGCAAAAAAAGGGTCATATTTGCATGAGAAATATAATATTTTTTAAATCTCAGGAATTTACAAAATTGAAATTAGCAAAATCAATGAATATGCATCCAATAGAAACTAATAATTGATATCTCAACAGAAAAGTACCTACTTTCAGACACAATTCTATATTACCCCATAAACTAAATTCTCGATGAATAACCAATTTTTCATATATATCAGCTAATAAGAAAGCAACAATACTTGAAAAAAAAATAAAAAAAATTAAAGATAAATGAAAACCCTCGAGAAATCCATGAATCAGGCAATTCAGGTAAAAAGAGTAGCAGGGGGTGGGGGTCGCTCCTCGTAATTTTCGCAAAAAAAAATGCCCATATGGTAATATATTGGTAGCAATCACGTGATAGAGGCAGAAATCTCATTTAAATCCAATACAACATGGATGCACACGAAATGTATTGAAGAGATTCTTTCTAAAGAATAGACACTATCACGACTTCAAGTATGGATTCCAAAGGGATTGAACAGAAAGTGATACTTGGACAACTATAACCAGGGGTGGCAACGGGTTGGGACCTGGACCCGGACCCGGACCCGGACCCTGAAAAAATATTATGGGACCTGAAGTTATTGGACTCGGACTTGGACCCAGACTTGACCCAAAAATAAAAAATCAATATCTTTAAATATATTTTATAAATTGAGACCCGAAAATATAATGTGGGACCCAGACCTAAACTCGAACCAAGACCCAGACCCGAATAGTGTTTGGGACTTAGATTTTGACCCGAACCCAATCCGACAACTCCAATTTTTGGACCCATTCCCGGACCCACGTCGGGTTCGGAGTTGGGTTTGGGTCCATTGCCACCCCTAAGTTTCACCCATAAATGCCAATCGATGCAATCAAAATCAAGACATTGAGACCCAAAAGTCCTATCAAAGTAGGGGAATGATGCAGTTTTTAGAAGGCTTAAGCTTTATGAAAACAACATAAAACCTCACCATGAATTCTCACATGGAAAACACTTGGGCATTGAAAACATTGATGATAGTTCTAAAATCAATTTCTAACACCATAATTTGAAGTCCATAAAATGGTTTAGAACTTGCAAATCCATGGATACATTACATCTAGATAATGTGTTACAATATACCGAGGATACATTACATCTAGTTAATGTGTTGCAATATGCCGAGATGATTGGTTTAGACCTTGCGGATCCATGAATTTGAACACAATTTTTTTTCATAACTATGACTATCTGGGCCAAGATGCTTGATTTGGATGTTTTCTTAAGCCAGAACTGTTATTTTTGGTAGGTTTTGAGATGAGACTTTATTTATTTGATAAGGCTGCAGCCATATCGAAACATCGTTTTTTTTTTCTTTTTTTTTGGGTAATTTGGTGAGAAAGACATGCCCCTACCCGTTTTTTCAAATAAATTAAGGAGTTGACTTTCTTTGAAAGTGCCAATGAGTGTTTTCAGCAGAATTGAAAACCACAACGTAGCAACTAGGTATAGGAGTACTACCACCACGACCCAACCCCTTTAGAAGTTAGATTTTTGAAAGTGTTAATGGGGTGGTGGTAGGTGGTGCCACCACCGCGACCCCAACCCCTTTCCATATCAACAACATCTTTTGTTTTGAGCAGTGGTTTAAAAATCGTCGATCTGATTCGAAATTAAACAATTCGAATCGGGTATCGGTGATATCGCTCCGGATCTACTAATAAAACAAGATCTAGATGGTTTTTTTGTTTTTTTTTAGCCTTTTTTTATCCGAATCAGGTATCGGTGATACTTTTTCGAATCCACTAATAAAACGAGATATTGAAAAAAAAGACTTTTTTTTTGGCCTTTTCTTATCTGAATCGGATATCGATGAAATCGCTCCAGACCCACTAATAAAACAAAATCCGAACGGTTTCTTTTTTTTTTATGGCTTTTTCTGAAAAAAATCCGTCGTCGCACGTACTTAACCTTCTGTGTTCCTTTTTGGAAGTGCCAGGTGACCTTGTACCATGTGCTATTTTGTCTTTTATGACCTCTGTACCAGGTGGCCATGTACCACGCTGTATGCATGATGATTCACGTAGGAGGCCTTGGACCTTTAATATGGTAAGCTGCTCCCACATCGGCAAATATTTTTTTCGGTCTATTGTATCCTGGCGTTTATAAAGTCACAAATAAACAATATGGTAAGCGTCAACTGTGCATTAATAAACAAAGCTTTCAACTGTGCTTTTTTTGCTGTAAAATAAACCTTCTTATTAGATATTAGGCATTAAGCTATTGATTAATAGAGATTAAAAAGAAAAAAAATAGTACTAGCTTGTAAAATATTAGAACAACCAAAAATAATATTAACACTAGTTTATTGACATTTAAAAAAATTACTAATTTATGATACATTTTAAAAGAAAAAATAACACTAGCCCAAACCATTTTAAAATCTATTTGAAAGTCACTTTGTCAATTATCCCACATTGTAAGTATGATATTTATTTATTTTTTAAAATTTATTATAATATAATTACAAATTTATGTTTCTAAATTCTATATTTTTGTAGGTTTATTTATTTGTAAGGGTCACACCTTTGTTTTTTTTAATCATGTTTATTATAATACTATAATTAATAATTATACTTTGATAACCAAATCTTATAGTTTATTTGTTTATTTATTTATATTATAAATTATATAATGTATTATTTTAATTATAACGGTAAATAATTTTTTTAAAAAATTAGATGATATATAAGACAAATTTTAAATTTATTCATACAAAGAAAGAGCATCTCAATATTCGCATATTGATGCATAAAAAAATGAAAATTCTTAATGTAATACCCCAATTTCTTATCGGATTCCTAAAAAGTAACATGTATAATGATTTGTAATAATTTTTTGGGATTTTTTAATGCTGAATCCGACCGATTCGATTGATTCTCGATCCAAAACGCCAATTCACCGATCCGGATGGGCTTTTGGGTGCCTGATCTGGGGCACCGATCCGTTTTTTAAACCAATGGTTTTAGGTAAATCAAAAACATCTTCCCCACGAAAAATAAGGCCCATAAATAAATCACATGGATCACCTCAACCAACTTCAAGTAAAGTTATTGATCCACTACTTTTTTGGAATTTGGAGTGCTCGAGGAGGGAAAGGTTTCTATACTTCTCCTACACCATAGAAGATCTATGCTTGTCCTATCATCCAGCCGTCTAATTTTGATCAAGAGAGCTACTCACAATTTGATCTTAGATCCGACGTCTCAAAGTATTTTATTTTTAGTATTTTTTATACAAATTGTATAAATATGAAATTTGGTACGTACCATCTTCTTATTGGGGCGTACCTATAAAAAATATTAAAAATAATTTTCGATAAAATATAATGATCAAAATACCCTTTAAAACATTTAGAGGCATTTTGGTTATTTTATTTTATTAAAAATATTTTTTACATATTTTTCGCTAGTGTGAGTTTAAATAAAGGATTGGACGTCTAAAATTTGATGTCAAAATAGTTTATATAAAAAAAATAGTGCAGAGACGTCCCTCAATTCAGAATGGACGGTCTGATAAAAGGAAAAATTTATAAGTTTGATGCGGTAGAGGAAGCATCGAAAGCTCGCCCACAAGAAAAAAGAATGAGTATAGTGTATTTATTTCTTCTTACGCACCCGATCAAGACACCCAGCCAGCCCAGCCCAACCCAACTCTACTCTGTCTCTCTCCCATGAACACGGTCACCACCCAACTCTCTCTCCACCAACATGCTCAACGCCCTCTTTTCATTCATCATCCCTCTCCTCCGAGACCGAGGCTCGCCTCCATGATGCCGATGACTCTGACGTACCGACGAATGAGACCTCGGATGAACCCGCACTTTCACCCTCCTCAGCACCATCTGTTGCTTCTGAAGCTACAATCTCCTCCACCTCAGCCAGCACCGCCTCCATCTCTGGCCTCTTCTCCGGCGACCTTTCACAACAACTCATGGCTACCCTCAACATTTGAACCAATCCCTCTGCTGCCCCCAATATCTCCTGATCGAAGATTTCGGCCGTCCATTCCTCACGCACCGCCCTGTTCACCCACACTGGGAGATCCACACCGGTGGTTCCTGGTAAGGCTGAGTGTGCAGAGATCTTTCCTGTAAGAAGCTCGAGTAAGAGGTAACCAAAGCTCCATACGTCAGATTTGGGGGAAATTTTTCGGCGGTGGAGATACTCTGGGGACTTGTAGGCGACCATTCGATGGACGGCAGATGGGAGGGCTAAGAAGGGGCTAAGGGAGTAGTCAGCGACTAAGGGACGGTCGTTTGCAGAGAGGAGGACATTGGTGGATTTGAGGTTACCGTGGGGGAGAGCGTTGGAATCACTGTGGAGGAAGGCCATGGCGCGTGCCACTCCTTGCGCCACCGAGAGGCGGGACCTCCACTTGAATCGTATGCGGCCAATGCTGTCCCTGTAGCCTGCAAACATGGAGAGTGAGAGGTGATGCACATAACATGAACTCTCCTGTGGTAATTCACTATGTACGTACGTACCAGAGAGAGATGTAATGCACAACATGTGGTGCTTCACTGCGCACATCTCCCCACTCACCTAGAGAGGATTAAGATATGGTGATATATATAGCAATGATTTCATGGAACCGTTGTATAGTAATACGATGCAATAATTTTAAAAAATCATTTTATCTCATCGCCATTTGTTTGATATAAATTTTGAAATATTCACTCTTTTCATTCTAATGAACAATCGCGAAAAATAAATTTTTTTTTTCGCCTAATTAATATAGGTCGTTCATTTTGGTAAGATGCTTAGATATAGACCTTAGAAGTATTTTTTTATTTCTAATTTTTTTGGATGGCTTTATTATCATTAAATGAACAATGTTAAAAAAAAAAAAAAAAAAAATTGATTTTGAGTTTATGAAGGCTAAGATCTTGAAATTCACAAAATGAATGGTCTAGATTCTTTTATAGACGGGACTCATTTTGACTATATCTAGAGTTCAAATTGAACTTTTTTTTTGGGGAGATTGATTATTGAGATGAAGACAGAGTGTGTACAAAAGCTGTGGTCATAAAAATACTACAAACATAGTTTTCTAGAAGTATCATTGCATTATGTAATAATACAACCGTTGTCTTGGATCAATGTTTATATATATATATATATATATATATATATCATTCATTTGTAAATTTGAGTAGCTTTGTTGAGTATGGGACGTTTTATAAAGGAGTGAGGTTTTAGTATAAGGTGCCTATCTTAATATCATACAAGTATAATTTTATCCTAGGAGGTAGTTTTAGTGTCAAAGACCTAATTATGGCTTGAAATTCTATGTTTAACCTTATTATAAAATTTAAAATTGTTAAAATAATGATGCTTGAGCAAGATCTATAAATGCTAGAAAATAGACAGTCCAGATAACTTTTTACAAGATGAAAAACTCTTTCATGAGTTAGCGGGTACAACAGCCCGCTGACTCTTTCATGAGTTAGCGGGTGCAAGACCCCGTTGACTTACCAATGTCCATTTTAAAAACTCACAAGGTTTATATGATGTATCGATTTTTCCAAAAAAATCACATTTTCATAGCAATTTTTTTTATGTTCATGATCTACTTAACCTTGATCATGAATCCTTAAAATTTTAGATTAAAAATCAGTTTGTAAGATAGTTTAAGAGGGGGCTCGCATATATATGAGTTGGTTGACTCATAGAAACCCCATATATTATAAAATATATTATTTTGAAAATTTAAGTATGGATCAAATTTTTTTACTGTTATAACATAATGGTTCGAAATTAGAACATTATTACTTGGAAGGAAGACGAATATCTAATTTTTATTTTTATTTTTTATCAAATTTGACCTTAATCCGATTTTTTGAACATCGGACCGCCTTAGTTTTCTTTATGTCTTCCGCTACGCTTGTATAGCATAAAGTCACTTGCATAGCATAAAGTCACAACCTTACATAGACTTTTTCCTTTGAGGACGGACAGCTTCATCATGGATGAGGGAGGTCCCCAGAGAGAGAGTAGTACTGAATTACTCATGCATTTATTTTTTTTGTGAGAGAAAAATGGATTTTAAGAGATTTGCGAGAAAGAGAGGGTCTAAGAGAGAATGACAGGAAGTGAAAATGAGAATGAGAGAGAGAGAGAGAGGGAGAGTATTACCATGAATCCTGTCATAAAGGTTCCCATGAGGTGCATAGGGCAAGAGAAGCAACTTCTCCTCTTTGGAGTAATAATAACCCAAAATTGGCAACAAGTTTGGGTGCTTGAGCTGAGCCAAACCTCTAACCTGATTTCCAAACTCCTCTCTGCTAAAATTATTCAAATCTTTCATTCTCTTCACCACAACACAAGGCCCACCTTCCAACATAGCCTTATAACAACTCCCAAAGCTCCCTTTCCCAAGCCCTTCAGCTGAGGCCCTCAAGAGCTCCTCTAAACTAAACCCACCTCCCTCTTCCATGAAAGATAACTCCCCTCTCTCCTCTTCTCTACCTCTCTCTTGGGTCACTGTTTCCTGGTTTTTCTCCTTGGACTTTTTATTAGACTTTGTCTTCTTAAAATACACAAAGAAGAGGTAGCTCACAAGAACCAGAACTATGACATCAAAGAGAACAAAGATTGCTACCACTAATGACTGTTTGAAAAAGCCCTTCTTCTTCTTCTTGCTCTGTGGAGAGTCTTCTGGTTGGTTTTCTGGTGAATTTGCCGGCACACCGGTCGGATCTATAATGCAAATTTGTCTGGTAGGGAAGCCGCAAAGTTTCGGGTTTCCTTGGTATGAGGAGGGGTCAATGGATTGGAGGAATGGGGGGATTGGGCCTTCAAGATTGTTATACGAGACATTGAAGCTTCTTAGGCTTTTCTGTTGAAATTCTGGTACGGTTCCTGAAAGATTGTTGCTTTCGAGTTGCAGATTGAGCAAATGATTCAGACTCAGAAGAGAAGGTGGAATCTTCCCTGAAAACTTGTTATATGAGAGATCAGTCGAAACAAGCTTCGGATTATATGAAAAATCCATGATATTACCAGAAATTGAATTGTTCATGAAGCTGATAACTTCAAGATTAGTGAGATTAAAGAGAGCGTCAGGTTTGATCACTCCAGAAAGCCTGAAATTCTCAACCACAACACCAGTTACTGTGCCATTGATACAGCTGATTCCATACCAGTGACTCGTATTCTCAAAGCATGGGAGACCATTCCAATGCTCGTTAAGGAAAGAGTTGTTGAAAGTATCTTTCAGGGCAAAGAGAGCCTCTGTTTCTTTTGGTTCAGAGTCAGCCATGGCTGAAAAACATAGAAAAAGGAAGAGAGAAAAATATACGGAAAATGAATTTACATAAGCTTTCATGGCTGGAAATGCCATTGATTCTCTGCTGATGTGAAGAAGAGAGAAACTGCTGATGAAAGAATTAATCACAGGGGTCGTGATCTCAATTGTGGGCAAAACAAAAAACAGAGTTTTTTCTCTCTCTGGTTACAGCTGCCCTGTTTTGGAGAAGAACGAAGGCAGCTTCTATTTTTCCTTGCTTTTTTCAAATTGGTTCTGAGATATCAAGGGGTAGAAAGAGACAAAAGATGCACAAGAATATGGGGCGTTAAATTTTTCAAGTTTTACATATGATTGATGAAAATAATTTATCTCTCCAAGGGGAGTTTCTCTCTCCAAGGGAGATCATCCTCAGTTGCTTCTGTCTTTTAAAAGGAGGTACAAGACTATTTATTTTCAAGATTTTTAACTATTTATTGATCAGTTCGTTTGTATCATATCTGAAATTTTGAATTTTTATTAAGGATAAGGTTTTGACTCAGGAATTATACCTCCAAATAAATTCTAGAGATGTGTGTTACTTTTACGGTATAAGAAGGGCACTTTATACCTAGATTTAAACAACGGATCGGTGTTTCGGATCGGGTACTCCAAAAACCTATCCAAATCAGTGAATCGAAGTTTTGGATCGAGAATCGGCCGAATCGGTCGGATTCGGCCTTAAAAAAAATTCAAAAAATTATTATAAATGTTGTTTTTTAGGAATCCAATAAGACATGATGGTACTAAATTAATAACTTTTATTTTTTTGCATCAATATGTGAATATTGAGATGTTCTTTCCCCAGATTCTCATCAAATATTTATTAAAACCTAATTAAATACAATATTATACATTGAAATTAGAATTATTTGTTTGTATTTTATTATTTTATCATTATTTTACTATACAAATAAGACTAAATTTGAAATTTGAGTTATAATATCATCTAATTTAAAAATCTAATTTGCAACTATAACAAAAAATAATACATTACATAATTATAATCTAAATGAATTAATAAATAAAATAAAATATTTGATTATTATTGTAATTAGTATAATTATTAATTATAATATTATAATAAGCATGATTCAAAAAACAAGGGTATGACCCTCACAAATAAATAAATCTAATGTATAATAATTAGTCTTGATAGAAATACATAATTTAGTAACATAAATTTGCAATCATATTTCAATAAAATTAGGAAAATAAATAAAGAAATTCATATTTGCAATATGGGATAATTGATAAAGCAACTTGAAATAAATTCTAATGTGATATGAGCTAGTGTTATTTTTCTCTCTTAAAATATCCCATAAACTAGTATTTGTTTTTAATGTTCAATAAATCAGTATTAGTATTATTATTTTTTAATATCCTATGAGCTAGTACTAATTTTTTTAATCCCGATTAGATAATAGCCTAAGAGTATTAGGGGGTGGTGGGCCCTATCAAACAATTATTATTTTTAATAAATTTTCTTTCTTTTTTATCGTTATAATTTAATGCCACCATTGGGCATATACCCCTCTCATTCATAGCGCACCCATCCCCACCTAATAGTACACCTAATAGTATTAGTTTATTAGGTATGAAGTTTATTCAATGCAAAAGTTGCATGAGAGAATTTCAATGTTTAAAAAAACGGATTGGTGATTCAAATCGGTCACACCAATACCCGAATCAGATTGGGGAATCGGCAGAATTGACAATTTTTGTCTCAATTTTTTTTTCAAAAAATCATTATAAATCTTTAAAAATAGTGTTCTGTTAGTTTATAAAACAAATTAGGATTGGTGCATTATATACTTTCATTACTTTGTAAAAATAGATTAATACTAAGACGTTGCTTTCCTATAAAACAACTATAAAAAAATAAAACATTACATAATTTATATGCAAAAAAATTAATAAATAAAATACAAAATTTGGTTCATGTACAATTATTAATTATTATATTATAATAAACATGATTCAAAAATTATTAGAATGAGTAATAATTTTTTAAAACATACTATAATTTCGAAAAAATCTAGTCTTTTGGGTTCCTTAAAGAAATAAACTTGTTTTTTAAATCCCCTGAGCTAATAGTATTTTTTTAAAAAAAATATTACAGTAAAACTTGTTTTTCAAAACCCGGATTGGTACGATAGATGGAGTTTTTATTAGCTTCAATGGCATCAAATATTTTTAGCAAGGTGGTTAGTGGTTGAAAGGAATAGATGGATGAGATTGTGTCTAATAGTATCATGGGGGTTGATTTTGTATATTAATTTTCAAAATTAGAAGTTTAAAGAGGTTGTATTTTATTTTTAAATAATTTATATCAAAGTGATGAGCTATCATTATCTCTCGTTCCATCAAACAGCATCCCGCATCTCAACCTAAAATTGGATCTCTTATTGTATCTCTATCTTAATCGACCAACATGGAAAGTTAAATTGTCCCACATCGAAGAAATGTGAAAACTAGTGTGCAAGATAAAAGGTGTAAGCTCCATAACTTCAACGCCATCGATCTGTGAAAGCCTTACCGCTAGCTTCATTAGAAAAACGCTTGGAGCATGGAAAACCCCTATTTCTGAAGTCTCCTATACACTCACAATTGATTTTGATTATTCTAAAATCCTATATTCACGATTTTGATTATAAAATTTGCGGCTTAACGTCCAAATGTTTTTTCTTTTTTCATATTTTGCCAATATTGAGATGATCAATTTGAATAATGTTTTTTCTTTTCTCATATTCATAATTGTCAATATTGAGATGATCAATTTGAATAATGTTTTTTCTTTTCTCATATTCATAATTGTCAATATTGAGATGATCAATTTGAAGGTTTTTTGAAGGCAAAACTATAATTTTTAGTGGAATTTGACAAGTGACTTTAAGGGCATTTTCCTTGTTGAAACTTCAAAATAAGCACAATGTTCTTAGAGAGAGATATTAATCGTTCGCAACTTGAAAATCCATTTACATTGTGCTACAATTGAAAATAGATAAATTAAAGTACCCACTGGAAAAAAAAAGACATTGCACTTTCCATATTTTTGGACCTAGTATTTTGAGTTTTTGTTTCTTGAGTTTTTTTATTCTCATTTCCCCAGTTGAAAGTTAGACCTTTGAATTGCCCAACACACAAAAATAGCTACATATTTTGGTTGTTTGAAAGTTGAACTATAGAGACATGTATTTAAGCAGTTCAAAAGTTCAACTTTCAAATGGTATAAAATGAAAAAGTAAAGTAGAATTTAAGTGTTGGACAATTCAAAAGTAAATATACATTTTTTCGAACACATGTTTCATGTGATTTCAAAGTTGGACTTTTAGATCACCCATTGGCGGTTCCAAAGCTGAGACTTTTCAACAAGGTAAAATCCAAAGAAAAGTACTCAAAATCACTCCT